CCCTTCAGGTGGGGCACCTGCTCTCAAGGTGGATGCGGTCCCCCCAGGCTGCCTGGCTCCTGTGGGCTTGAGTTTGCAGCCTCTGCACTGGAGGCTTATAAGGTCAGGAGAAAATGATCAGGGACCCGGACAGCTGTTCCAGGGACCCAGGGGTCCTGAGCAGGGCAAGGTCTTGCTGTGTGGCCTGGGGCGCAGTGAGCCTCAGTTTCCCCGTTTGCCATGTGGGAATGGGGAGTATCCCCAGAGTCCCTGCAGAGGGACCTATAGGGTCTCACTTCCCTTCTACGGGTCTCAGTTTCTCTCCCTGTAGAATGCTGGGGCTGGACTTGGGATCACTGTCACTCTGGTTCACAAGGCCCCATGTGGCCTCTGCCATGGTAACAGTCCCATAGCCTAGTACTGCCCCCTACAGGGTTCTTGTATTTCACCTGTGCTCCTGGGTGACTCAGGCCGGTCCAGACCTCGCTCCTCCAGGGCAGGGAGCAGGTGTGTGGGCTGAAGGGAGGCCTAGGGGGGTGTCTGCCCAGTGAATGGGTGAGTACTGAGCAGGGCCTCTGACCTTAGCTTCTGAACGGTAGCTGCCGCTCCTGCCCTGCGGGTCTACGCAGGTCTTCCCCGGGCCGCTGGATCTAGGCGGCTGTGAGCCACGCGCTGGGCTTTATCTGTCCCACGTGAACCGCAGTTCACGTGTCTGTGGTCTTCTTTCGCTCTCAAGAGCCCTAGACTGTGGGAGAAACAGATCCTGGTGTCCCTCTGCTGTGGGCAAGCCCCTTCCCCTTTAAGGGTCTCCCACAAACGGAGGGATCCAATTAGCTCCTTGAAGCCTCTGTTATGGGCTGAATTGTGTCCCTTCCCGCCTCACCCCATCCGTACGCTGAAGCCCTAGACCCCAGCACCTCAGAATGTGACTCTGTTTGGAGACAGGGCCTTTAAAGAGATGAGGTAAAATGAGGTCACGTGGGTGGGCCCTAATCCAATAGGATTGGTGCCCTCATAAGGAGGAGATTAGGACACAGACATACACCGAAGGATGACCACGTGAGGACACAAGAGGAAGATGACTGTCTACGAGCCAAGCAGAGAGGCCTCAGAAGGAATGAACCCCGCCCACGCCTTGATCTTGGACTTGTAGTTTCCAGAATAGTGAAAAAATAAATTTCTGTTGTTTAAAGCCCCCAAGTCTGTGGTGCTTTCTTATGGCAGCACAAGCGGACTCATAAGCCCCCTTCTAGATTTTGCTCTCCTTTCCTGGTGGGGCAAGGGCTGCCTGTGGGCAGGGCAGTAGGTGGGGCTGGGACCCCTCAGGGTCGTCACCATCTGGGGCACAGCGGGCTTGGCTGCTGGAATGGGGCCTCGGCTTGAAGAAGCGGACAGATGCTCTGCTAAGGCTGAGCCCTGGTTCTCCCGGCCGGTTGCCAGGTACCCGGGGGTTCTGGGAATCTTTGTGTCTAACGAGTGCCCTCTGGTGGCCTCAGCTGTGCAGCAGCCCAGCCCAGGGACTTACCTGTAACAGAAGCAGGTGAGGTTTCAGCTTCAGACTCCTTGGGTGTTTCTGGCTCCTCCAGCAGCTCTGGTTTCTTGAAGATCAGGGCCTCATTGGCCATGGGAATATGACTCTCCTCCCACCACTTACGCATCTTCATTCTAAGGCAACGAGCCCCATGCTGTGCTCAGTTCCCCCTGGTTCCCAGAAGGAGCCCTGGACTGGGGGTCAGAAGACCCAATTTCCCTCCGTTTGCTGGTTCTGTGATATTTGTGCATATCAGTGTACAGAGAGTCCCCTTAGTCTTGTCACAGTTGTAAGTTTTTGGCCCTCCTCCCATGGAGAGGTGGGGTTTATTTCGTCTCCCCTTGAATCTTGACTAGCTTACGACTTTTTGTAAAAGAATATGGCAGAAATGACACTGTCAATTCCAGGTCTAGCCCTAAAGGGGACTGGAAACTTACACCTTGGAAGAGACCACGATGAGAGGCCCTGAGACTACTTGGAAAGGGGGAGGGGCCCAGCAATCTTCTGACTGTCCCCATCAAAATGCCACAGCCCAGCCCAGCTGCTAGCTAACTACCACCACGTGACCTCAGTAGATGCCACAGGAGGGCAGAAAAATCATCCAGTTGGGTCCCACCCACATTCCTGATCCATGAAATTGTAAGATGCATTAAAACGATCATGGCTTAAAATCATGGCTTAAGTAGTAGGGCCGGGGCATTATGACAACAAAGCAACCAGAACTGTTGTCAAGTTCTCTTGAACGTGTTGAGCTCAGCTCTTGTCACCCACAACTGGAAGAGTTCTGACTACTGCGACTTATCTCCCTTAGTAACCACCAAGTTTCCGTTATCCTCCAAAGTTTTCCACCTGTGAAAATATGAACCCCAATGCCCCATGCTCTCCCTGGTTCTACTCTATCAGCTTTCCTGTACTCTCATTCCAATCTCATGTGCCTCTTCTTTGATCCCACAGATGGAAACTTCAAGGCCAAGACACCGTGTTCTCTAGCACCTGTGAAGACCCTCTTGGTTTCCCAACCCCACAGGGTACAACTGGTTGCCCACTTGAAGTGCTCTCTCCCTCCAGCCTCCCTGCCTCCCTTTCCCTCACCCCATCAGCCTTCCATGGGACCCTGCCCGCAAAGACCCAAACCTAGATCAATGCCACCATCTACTCTTTCTTTCCAATGACCACTGGTGGGAGGAAACACCACAGGGCAATGCCGCTTGGTGCCATTAACAATAATCTCCAAAAAAATTTAATAATCTCCATTCACTGCTGGGCCTTTGCTGCTGCTTACCAAGTGTTTTCCTTGTCCTTGTACAGATCCCAGTAATTCTCCTCAGTGGCTATCCTAACCACACCTAACACTGTCCGTCTTCTTCATTCTCTACCCCTCACCCCTGCTCCCACCCACATCGCTTTCAGCAGATGGCTTTGCCATATTTCTTCTCTCCGGAAAGGAGCCACTGGGTAGGATCCAATCACAAATGGCCACCCAGTGATAAATGTCACTTAAAGGTGAACCAGAAAAAGAACATCTGCTATTGGATTTTGAGAATAAGGATGACTGGTTGGTTTAGACAATGTCATTTCAGGGGCATGGTGCTGGAGAGCATATTGAGGTGGACTGGAGAATGTGAGGGTGATGAGAATCAGAAAGTGGACGTCAGCTCTCTCTCTCTCTCTCTCTCAAAAAAAAAACCCCAAAACACTGGATGGTACATAGAAGGAGTTTGTGGGGCTGAGGTGGGAGAGATTTGGACATACTTACATAATTCAGAGAAAGAGCCAGTGAAGAGAGAAGAGGGTGATTGATAATTTAAGAGACAGGAGGAATGATTAATGAAGTGTGGACGAGATGGATTCCCAAGCAAAGGAGGTAGGGCTAACCTTGGACGGGAAGAGGGATGCCTCTTTCTCTGAAAAGGGCAAGGAGTAAATCATCAATGCCGATGGTAAATAACTTTGTAGGTTTGGGGAGCTGCTTTTTTCCTGCGAAGTAGGGAAACCTTATTGCTAAGAGTGAGAGGGGAGGAGATAAGAGAGTTGGGGGGAAAAGGAAAACATTTGTAGTACTGACAGAGTGCTGTGTTGGGAAGGGCTGACTAGAGGTAGGCTGAGGGATTTCTGGGCAGTATTGATGCTTGCTCCCAAGGGATAAGGAGATACCGAAGGGGTAAGTTTCCCTTAGTATCTTCCTTGTGCAGGCCTCTAACACAGCACTTGTTTACTTGTCTATGTCCTTGGAAAATACAGGAGACAAGGTTAGAGGGAAAAAAAAAGAGAAAGAAGGTTTGACAAATATTAAATGAGAATCCCATAGTGAAAGGAAAGGGCAGAGGCATATATGAAAGAATGTTTGAGACTTTTCCAGGACTGATAAAAGACACCAAAGCAGAGATTAAGGAGGCCAAACAAATATAACAACAAACAAAAAAAGATATCCACACTTAGTCACATCAGAGTGAAACCTTTAGTGCTAATACCCCAAGGCCCAGATGGCTATGAGGGCCCTGAAAAGGCACCCAGCCCAGGTACCAGGGAAGGTTTCCTGGGGCACATGATGGAAGAGCTGTGAGCTGAGTCCTAAGCAATGAGTAAACGTCAGCCGGGTAAGAGAGGGGTTCAGGGATGGGAGATGAAGTGTAGGGAAGGGCACCAGGCAGAAGTCACTGTACAGCTCGAGAAGATTTAAACAACATGACTAATAAATTTGGTTTAAAGGATATATATATATATATATACACATATATACATGTACATATATATAATATTTATATAAAACACTGCATTCCACAAGCGTAGAATACATATTCTTTTCAAGCCCACATTGGAATATTTATTTATATAAACTAAACAAAAATTTTGTCACAAAGAAATCAAGAACTGAAATCATGCATAGCATATTCTTTGACCTTATTGGATTTAAATAGAAATAAAGAAAAGAGGATTATTAGAAAATACTGATGCCTCTAAAAAAACCTCTATGGGTCAAAAAATAATAATGGAAATTAGAGATATTTAAACCAAAAGATAATAAAAGACTTTATATTAAAACTTGTGAGATTCAGCTACAGTCATGCTTACAGGGAAATTTATAGCCTTAAATAGAAAACTGGAAAAGAAGAATGGCTGAAATGTAATGATGTAAGCGTCTGTATCAAGAAAACTGACAGAGCTGAATTAACTGGAAGAATCATAAGGAAGGAAATAAAGAATGTAAATAAATGTGGTAGGCTTTGGGGAAGGCTTGCTGTTGAATATTTTTTTTTTTTTGCGGTACGCGGGCCTCTCACTGTTGTGGCCTCTCCCGTTGCGGAGCACAGGCTCCGGACGCGCAGGCTCAGCGGCCATGGCTCACGGGCCCAGCCGCTCCACTTCTCGAATCACTTCTCGAGATCTTCCCGGACCGGGGCACGAACCCGTGTCCCCCGCATCGGCAGGCAGACTCTCAACCACTGCGCCACCAGGGAAGCCCCCTTGCTGTTGAATTTTAACTTGATACTCACACAAGGAGAACAAGGAAGGAGAATAGTGCTGATACAATGGGTCCATACACAACGCCCTGGATCAGCCCTTTCACGAACGCATTGGAAACTGAATTCTTATCTGGAATCAGAGGGAAGTGAGAGTAGTTTTTCTCCTAAGGCTGTAAATTCTGAGCCACTACTCTTTCCTCTGGCTCTGTACCCAACCTCATCCTGGTCCCTAGGTGGTGTCGTTCTAGCCCAGCAACTAGACCCCTGTATACTTACCTGATATGAGGAAGTTGCTTGAAGTATGGATTCCATATTGGTCCTTCCCCTCACAGTGGAGGCCCATGGTTATTTCAGGCTCCCCGAGGAGGGTGATGGTGCTGTTGGCCCAAAGGGGCAATTATGCTAAAAGTCACCTGGAGGGTGTTATTCATGTTGTTCAGACCCATGGGAGCACCTCCCATCAACCACTGCACGGAGGGCGTGGGGATCCCATGGAAGGAACAGCTGCACTGCAGAGTCTTCTCCAAGGAGCAAGAAGAATAAAGCAGACTGGCGGGGGCTGTAGGGAAGCAGCGTCAAGGGTCAGCAAGCATCCTGACTTCTCTGCTTCCTCCAGGATGAACACCAAGGTCTGGTGAGTTTCCCATACTTTGTTGCTGGGAGAGGAGGGGCGCTGTCCACTGGGAGGTGACAACTGGAAACTGGTGTTTGGTCTCTCCTAGGTCCTGCCCTATGTGCTCTTCCCTCTGCTGATTTTAGTCTCTGTTCTTTTGCTATAATAAATCGTAACCAGGGGAGGCTTCCCTGGTGGTGCAGTGGTTAAGAGTCTGCCTGTCAATGCAGGGGACACGGGTTCGAGCCCTGGTCCGGGAAGATCCCACATACCGCGGAACAACTAAGCCCGTGAGCCACAACTACTGAGACTACACTCTAGAGTCCGTGAGCCACAACTACTGAGCCTGTGCTCTAGGGCCCGCGAGACACAACTACTGAGCCCATGCACCACAACTACTGAAGCCCGCGTGCCTAGAGCCTGTGCTCCGCAGCAACAGAAGCCACCGCAATGAGAAGCCCGTGCAGTGCAATGAAGAGTAGCCCCCACTCGCCGCAACTAGAGAAAGCCCGCGCGCGCAGCAACAAAGACCCAACGCAGCCTAAAATAAATAAATTTATTTTTAAAAAAAAGGAGAGAGAGAGATTAAGGACCCTGCCTGAGGTCATAGAGAAAAGAGTAACAGCATGAGGCCTGGACCCTGGCTTCCCACACACGAAGTCCAGTCCCCAACTCATCACATTGGGGATCTTGATACACTTGGTTCTGGGCCACCACGCTTTTTGTCTTCTCCAAAACTTGACAGCACCCACTGCACAGGTGATGATGTTGAGAGAGCAGATGTGGCTACATTGATAATTTGGGTTCTAGAGTGCCTGGGGCAGAGCATGAAAATGGAACTAGGAGTCAGAAGAGCTGGGCACTCCACTAGCTAAATTTCTAGTGACTTTGGCCAAGTTGCTTAATCTCCCAAAGCCTGTTTCCTCATCTGTGAAATGGGGACTATAATTCCTCAGGGAGTTGTTGGGTAGAGAAAATGGGACGCATGGTGGGTCACAATGGCAAGCACAGAAAATGCACATGGAAGATGTCTATTATGTATTATTTATCACGCACTTAATTCTTTAGGTCCTCACCTCTTCACCTGACCTCAGTCCAGCCCAGCTTCCACCCCCGCACCCACACCCAGTCCGGCACTTCCTTGGCTTTCTCAACCACCTCCTACCCGGCCTCTCATTCCACTTACCCAACCGTAACAGTGGTAGTACCATCAACACCAACAGGATCTCAGGGACAAGAGAGAATCAGGACCTATTATGCTGCTAACTCTTGATCTCAGATCCACATGTCCTGGAGGGCAGGATTTGGAATGCATCAGGAGAGGAGAAGCAGTTAGAAGCAGAAGGTGGAGGTAGAAATAAATTCACTGTTTACTGGGTATTCTTATCTCTGCAATCACCCTTAAGGTCCATCCACCTGTGAATTAGGAGCCTCATGGGACCAGAGGCTGAGCAGCTTCAGGAACAGGGACAGGGAAGGTTCCCCGTGACACTCTGTGGAGTCTCAAGACCATGTCTGCTTTCTTCTCTTTCCTCTAGTCTTCACTCCCAGCCCCTTCTCCCTTTAAAGGGTCTCAAATGCCAGGCTGAGGAGCTTGGGCTTTTTCGCAAGTCAATGGGGAAGTCGTGGAAATCATGGAAACGTTTTGAACCATGGTGGGGGGGCAGACAACAGGTGTGGATGTTATAAAGGTCTCTATGGTCTGCATTGAGGAGGAAGCAATAGTTCAAGAGAAAGATGATGTGGTCTGAGCTGGCCCAGTGGCTATGGGGGATGGAGAGGATGGGTTATATTTAAGAGACATTTGAGTGATAAAAGACATTTCTACGGCTGGCAAGATAAATTCCAAACTCCCTTGCCCTGCATCAAGGCTGTCCATGATTTGGGCTCACACTTGCCCTATCTCTGCTGCTCCCCTTTCTGCCATTCTTTGCAAGCTTAAGAGAAACAAGTATGTGTACATATATACCACATCTACTCCGTGCATTCCTACCTCTGTATGTTTACTTGGGCCACTCCCTTTTTCCTGGCATCCTTCTGCAACTCTCCCCTCTGCCCACATTCAAATCATACCTCTCTTTCTAGCCCAGGTCAAATGTAACTTCCTCCTGGTAGCCTTCCTGGATCCTCACAACCACAAAAAAGCCTCCTTTTTCAGACTTTCTTCAGCACTTATATATATATTCATCTCTTTTAGAGCAATGTCTCAGGCGGAACCCAAGAGTTGCCTGATATCTACCGTCTTGTATGTTCTTATTATTTCAAATTTGTTCAGGTGGTGAAGTTATCAGTTTAAAAAATAAACCCTGTTTCCCTTCCTCCTTTACATCTAGGGCTGGCCACTTGACAGAGTTCTGACCAATGAAGCAAGTACAAGAAAAATGCTATTAAATTATTATCACCAAATGGAAGTCTATTCAGCCATTACCCCATTTTTTGCCATCACAATTGAGCTCTGAAGGTCTGTTTTTTGCATATAATACTAGCTAATGAAATTTGAGAGCTCGATTTTTTAAAAAAAACTAAGTGTTCATGATAAAGGAAACGTGTCTGAGAAAGAATTGAAGATGTTTCCTTCCCCTGCAGCTATAAATCAAAAGATACGGTTTTGTGTTATAAAAAGGTTCAGGGAGTCTGATTTGATATTGTGCAAAACTGAGAATGTTTATAAGAACATAATTTATGTTCTCTGCAATATACAGTTTCATATGAATATTCAAGACTGGTACTGATTTGCTCTGTTCTCTGTTGATATAAGTCCGCCCTTGGAAGAACAATTCAAACAAAGCAGTCTTACGATACTCCAAAGACATTAGAAATTATTCCATGTCTTATGAAAATGATATCCAAATAAAATGGAATTCTGACCAGTGGTCTTACTTGATAATTTTTTGCTCTGGTAACAATAACATTGTAATTGACATCTCTGTTTCTTAAATTGTATACCTGTCTGTAGGACGGTACTGTTCTCTTCTCTCACGTGAACAATGCAAAAATAAAAACCACAGACTCTGCTGTTAGATTTATTATTACGCAAATATCTTGAGAGACTTGCTTACTTGAAATACCAAATGTCTGAGGCTACCTGCTGGAGTCTTTTGGGGAGTTCTGGTTTTCTGATATTAGCACCGCTACTTTCTTCTTGCTGCTTTTCTTCTTCTTTTTCCCTGGAATATAGATGTGATACTGGAAGTGGAGCAGCCATCTGGCGACCATGAGGAACCATGTAGATCAAAGCCACAGACTGAGGAAATTATTGACAACAGTATAGGGATCCTTGTTCCCTGATAGCCTTGTGGAGCTGCTACACAAACCTGCACGGTCTACTGCACACTTCTTCACTTGGTTACTGCTTTCGTTGGGAAACAGATGAAATACCCTACCAGGGAATCTATCCAAGAGTGAGCTCCTTGAGAAAAGGCCCTACATCAAATACATCTTTGTGTCCTTCCCAGTGCTTAGAAAGGTTCTCTTCTGAAAAATATATTCCTTAGGATCTGTAGTTATAACTACTCTTTCATTCCTGGTACTCAAAATTTGTGTCTTCTCTCTTTTTCTCAGTCAGTTTCCTTAAGGTCTATCAATTTTATTGAGTTTTTTTTTTTTTTTTTAAAAAACAAGTTTTTGTTTTAACCGATTTTTCTTTATCGCTTCTGTTTTTTTTTTTTTTAATGAAAAAGCCACTTTATTGAAGATTTAGTTGTTTCCAACTCTGGAAGGTTAATTTTTTTTTAACATCTTTATTAGAGTATAGTTGCTTTACAATGGTGTGTTAGTTTCTGCTTTATAACAAAGTGAATCATTATACATATACATATATCTCTTCCCTCTTGCATGTCCTTCCCTCCCACCCTCCCTATCCCACCCCTCTAGGTGGTCACAAAGCACCTAGCTGATCTCCCTGTGCTATGCGGCTGCTTCCCACTAGCTATCTATTTTACGTTTGGTAGTGTATATATGTCCATGTCACTCTCTCACTTTGTCCCAGCTTACCCTTCCCCCTCCCTGTATCCTCAAGTCCATTCTCTAGTAGGTCTGCATCTTTATTCCCGTCTTGCCCCTAGGTTCTTCATGACCTTTTTTTTTTAGATTCCATATATATGTGTTAGCATACGGTATTTGTCTTTCTCTTTCTGACTTACTTCACTCTGTATGACAGACTCTGGGTCCATCCACCTCATTACAAGTAGCTCAATTTCGTTTCTTTTTATGGCTGAGTAATATTCCATTGTATATATGTGCCACATCCTTCTTTATCCATTCATCCGATGATGGGCACTTAGGTTGTTTCCATCTCCAGGCTATTGTAAATAGAGCTGCAATGAACATCTTGGTACATGACTCTTTTCGAATTATGGTTTTCTCAGGGTATATGCCCAGTAGTGGGATTTCTGGGTCGTACGGTAGTTCTATTTTTAGTTTTTTAAGGAACCTCCATACTGTTCTCCATAGTGGCTGTATCAATTTACATTCACACCAACAGTGCAAGAGGGTTCCCTTTCCTCTACACCCTCTCCAGCATTTATTGTTCGTAGATTTTTTGATGATGGCTATTCTGACCAGTGTGAGATGATACCTCATTGTAGTTTTGATTTGCATTTCTCTAATGATTAATGATGGTGAGCATTCTTTCATGTGTTTGTTGGCAATCTGTAGTATATTTTCTTTGGAGAAATGTCTATTTAGGTCTTCTGCCCATTTTTGGACTGGGTTGTTATTTTTGTTTTTGATACTGAGCTGCATGAGCTGCTTGTAAATTTTGGAGATTAATCCTTCGTCAGTTGCTTCATTTGCAAATATTTTCTCCCATTCTGAGGGTTGTCTTTTCGTCTTGTTTATGGTTTCCTTTGCTGTGCAAAAGCTTTTAAGTTTCATTAGGTCCCATTTGTTTACTTTTGTTTTTATTTCTATTTCTCTAGGAGGTGGGTCAAAAAGAATCTTGCTGTGATTTATGTCATAGAGTGTTCTGCCTATGTTTTCCTCTAAGAGTTTGATGGTGTCTGGCCTTATATTTAGGTCTTTAATCCATTTTGAGTTTATTTTTGTGTATGGTGTTAGGGAGTGTTCTAATTTCATTCTTTTACATGTAGCTGTCCAGTTTTCCCAGCACCACTTATTGAAGACGCTGTCTTTTCTCCACTGTATATTCTTGCCTCCGTTATCAAAGATAAGGTGACCATATGTGTGTGGGTTTATCTCTGGGCTTTCTATCCTGTTCCATTGATCTATATTTCTCTTTCTGTGCCAGTACCGTACTGTCTTGATTACTCTAGCTTTGTAGTATAGCCTGAAGTCATGGAGCCTGATTCCTCCAGCTCTGTTTCTCTTTCTCAAGATTGCTTTGGCTATTCAGGGTCTTTTGTGTTCCCATACAAATTGTGAATTTTTTGGTTCTAGTTCTGTGAAAAATGCCAGTGGTAGTTTGGTAGGGATTGCATTGAATCTGTAGATTGCTTTGGGTAGTAGAGTCATTTTCACAATGTTGATTCTTCCAATCCAAGAACATGGCATATCTCTCCATCTATTTATATCATCTTTAATTTCTTTCATCAGTGTCTTATAATTTTCTGCATACAGGTCTTTTGTCTCCTTTGGTAGGTTTATTCCTAGATATTTTATTCTTTTTGTTGCAGTGATAAATGGGAGTGTTTTCTTGATTTCACTTTCAGATTTTTCATCATTAGTGTATAGGAATGCAAGAGATTTCTGTGCATTAATTTTGTATCCTGCTACTTTACCAAATTCATTGATTAGCTCTAGTAGTTTTCTGGTAGCATCTTTAGGATTCTCTATGTATAGTATCATGTCATCTGCAAACAGTGACAGCTTTACTTCTTCTTTTCCAATTTGGATTCCTTTTACTTATATTTCTTCTCTGATTGCTGTGGCTAAAACTTCCAAAACTATGTTGAATAATAGTGGTAAGAGTGGGCAACCTTGTCTTGTTCCTGATCTTAGTGGAAATGGTTTCAGTTTTTCACCATTGAGGACAATGTTGGCTGTGGGTTTGTCATATATGGCCTTTATTATGTTGAGGAAAGTTCCCTCTATGCCTGCTTTCTGGAGGGTTTTTTTATCATAAATCGGTGTTGAATTTTGTCAAAAGCTCTCTCTGCATCTATTGAGATGATCATATGGTCTTTCTCCTTCAGTTTGTTAATACGGTGTATCACATTGATTGATTTGCATATATTGAAGAATCCTTGCATTC